GGCCGCCAGGGACCGGGACAAAGTGCGGCCTTGGCGAGTGACGGAGAGGGTCTCCCTAGCCGTCGGTGCTCATCTTGCACCCACCTCCCGGTCTGGGGGCTCATCCCCTGCCACGCAGGCCCCCAGCACCACCAGAAAGGGCCAGGGAGTCCCCCAGGAACACGGATTGACAGAGGTCAACCTCACCCTCTTTGCTCCTGGCCTCCGTTCTCCTACAGGAAGCCCACCAGATTCCCTTCTGGACCCACCTGCCCAGGACCAACACTCATTCCACAAAAATCCCCAGGATGCTGTCTGGAGCTCCTTCCTGCGGCCTCCTCTCTGGAGCAAAACCTGGGATGGGACCAAAGACCCCTTTTCCCCATTTTCCTGGGCTGGTCAGACCCCCAAGGCTGTCCAGAGCTAGGTTCCGAGATGGCATGCAGACAGCAGGGGGAAGAGTTCAATCTGGTTCTAACCCCCACCCCCAAGCACACACACAACAGAAGATACAGAGCCTTGGGCACAGGGAAGGCTGCTGCTCAGCTGTGTGGGGGGCGTGCGCACACGGCACTGCTCAGGGGTCACAGGCGGACGGGCACCCTAGAGAACTGCAGGTAATGGGGGCGGGTGTGCCAGGTGGGGCTCGGCAGGCCAGGCTGGACAGTAGAGGTGGAGCTGGGGCAGGAGATGAAGTGCCAGTCCGGGGAAGAGGGGGCAGGTGCAGGGGAGCGGGGCCTCTCACAGCCTGCCCCCACACCCACACCTGTATCTGGATGGAGGGTGACTAGAGGCTGAGAGGTGAGGACAGGGGCCCATACAGAGCCCCTCTTTCCTGAACACCCTCCGACCAGCACCGTGTGTTGCTGGAGACCACCAGGGCTCCAAGAATCCCCACCTGGTAGTTAAGGCAGCTGGGACCCCATGGCCCACTGTAGTTCTAGTCCTGGGCTCGGTGGCTTAAAAAACACACTAGGCGTGTGTGTATGCGTGCCCACAACCCTGAGAGGAGAGTGGAGGAGAAGGGATTGCAGCGTGGCCATTTGCCTAGGGGGGATCTCTCTCTCTCTCTCTCTCTCTCTCTCTAGTGAATGCACATACCCTATAGCAAAAACTTAAAATAAAAAAATAAAAGCACCTCGGCTGGCAGACTTATTTAGAAAAAAGAGATGACTCATACTGTGTGCATTTAACACGATGTTGGGGTGCGTGTGGATCGGAATAAGGTTCGCGCCAGGAAGCAAATTGTCTCGCTTTGTTTTGTTTCCTTTGGCAAGAGCCCTGAGATCTGCTCGCCACCACCGGGATCCCCGGGAGTTAGGCCTCAGCCCTCAGGCGGCGTGGGCATCCTGCCTGTGGCTCCCTCGCATGCGTCTCCCCCACACACAGCCCACCCCAGCGGGCTCTTCACCACTCAAACGCCAGGTCCTCCCGTAGGGCCGCAAGGCAGGACCAGCATGCTCCTGGGGACACTCTGCGAGGCACATCTTCTGGTCACAACCTCGATGACAAAGGGGCCGAGAGTCCAGGTCAGGCACGCTCAGCATGCCCTCCCCCGGCCTCCGCAGTTGTATGATGTGAGCCTCTCAGGGCCCTGGGCAGGAGCACAGGGGTGAGGCTTACTCACCCCACTAAACAAGGGGGGCCTGACTCACCGAGGCCAAGCGCCACGCCTGGTTACGCAGTGAGTGGGAGCCAGGTCTGTGTCACGTTTGACCGAAGGGAAACTGAGGCTCAGAGAGGATGGCGTGGGGGCAAGGGCCAGAGGTGAGATGTGGAGGGCCAGGTCAGACTCCCAGCACAGCCCATAGAAGGGGCCGGCCACAGGGACAGAGCAGCCCCTGAAGCCAAGGGAGGGGAGAAGCTTGAGGAGCTGTGGGGGGTGGGAGGCTTGCCAAAGGCCAGATCGGGGGGCACACAGGCCCACGGTGACTGCGGAGCCTGGGCCAGAGTTCGAAGCCTGGTCACAGTGGACATCCTGGAAACAACAGCCCTGCCCCCTGCCCTACCTGAGGATGACGGCACTCCAGTTCCCTTGAGACCAGAGGCTCCTGGTCCTGGAAACAACAGCCCTGCCCGCTGCCCTACCTGAGGATGACAGCACACTCCAGTTCCCTTGAGACCAGAGGCTCCTGGCCCCCAGGTCCCAGGGGCATCATCCTGGCACCCCTCCTCAGACCCTATCAGACATAAGACTATGCCCCACCCTGAGGTGGGGGCTCCATCAGGTCAGGTAAAGCCATGACACCCCAGCCCCTCATAGGGTCCCGAAGTCCTGCCTTGTCCTAGCACCTGCCCCCAGGCCCCCTCCGGCTGCTCCCCAGCCAGGGCCCCGCTGGTCCACATGGGCCATCCAGCTCTGACTCCTGCATCCCACGCCCAAGGCCCACCTGGTCCGCATGGTCCAGCCCAGCATCCCAGAGGTGACAGCTGCAGTGGAGGTGAGGCTGCCGGCCAGCACGAGAGTGGGTCCCAGGGGCAGCTCCCCTGTAGGGCGGTGGAGACACTGGTCTTCCTCAGGCAGGTCATGTGGGCGTGGCTACCTGCTGGCCCTGTCCTTGTTCCCCCTCCCTCCCACGCCCACCTAACACTCTGGTCCAGCCCACCCTCCCCATCCGGAAGCGCCAGCTGCTGCTCTGGAGAGAGTCCTCTCACCTGGAGGCACCAGCGTGAAGGCACTGCCCTGGATGCTGACGCTGTTTTCCGCCTGGCACTGCAACCAGCCTGCCGCCTGGGCTGGTGGGAAGGAGAAGCTGGCGGGCTGCCCGTGGAGCGGCGTCTGCTGCATGTGGACCTGCCCATCCTTCCCGACCAGGCTGTAGGTGATGGGTGGGCTGCCAGAGCGTGCCTGGCAGGACAGCTCCACCCTCGGGCCTGCCCCCCTGTCCTGCAGGGTGAAGTTAGCCTGCAGCTGGGACACTGGCTCTGCAGGGTGGGAGAGAGAGCACAGGCACGGCTGGAGAGTTCAAGCTCCCCTCCCCATTCAGTTCTCATTACAAAATGCCTAATGGGCCTAGAGGCTTAGTTGGGACTGCTGCCTCCTCCAGGAAGCTCTCTGGAGTGCCCTTCCGCCTAGCGTCTGGGCTCCTAGCTTACGGGCAGTGTGTACTGTGCAAGTCCCCATAAGGTCCCCATCTTACCTAGTGCATGTCAGCTTCCTAGACTTAGCGAGTGAACAAACAGCATGCAGCTAAATGGGAATTCCACATAAATGAGAAATAATTCGTTTTTATTTATGTGCCATAGGGCACATGCACTTGCCAGAGAGAGGAAGACAGAGAGAGAAAGTGAGAAATCGCCCCCAAGGGGATGGCCATGCTGCAACCCCTTCTCCTCCACTCTCCTCTTGGGATTTGGGGCACACACATTTCTCAAGCCACCAGGTCTGGGGCTGGAACTGCACAAGTGGCCACATGGGATCCTTAACCACCACACCACCTGGCTGGCCCACCTCCCTGTGTTCTGAGGGTGTGGGGCAAAGACTGGATCGGGGGCAGGGTCACAGTCCCACGTAGGCCAGGCAATGCTTCCTGGTCCCCACAGTGCGGGGCTCCCTGCAGGGACAACCGAGTTAAGGTCTCAGTAGAAGGGAAGGCTGCACGAGGGGGTGCTGGCAGAGCAGCTCCAAACCAGCCTTTGCCACTGCCGAGCCTAGTGGCTGGGGCCACTTTCTTCACCTCCACCACCCTGGTAATAGACCTGCAACCCTGACAGCCCTCAGAGCTGCTGTGAAGATCCAGTGAGACAATGCACAGAAAGGGCCTCCTTTATCAGTTTGAGGCCACAGCTGGGAAACCAGGGCCAGGCCTTGCTCACTTCTGCCCTCAGGCTCTTTAACAGCCAGCCCACCAGGCCATTGTACCCTCAGGAGCCACCAGCCAGGGTCTGGCTCACCCATGGCCAGGCCCCATGGGACTGAGAGGGGCCCTTGGAGCTAAGCAGACTTCCTGGTCCCTCTCCCCATGCCTCGGCCCTCTCTAACCCCAGCTTCCCAGAGTTCACTATTCCCACCTGCAGGTGCTCCCCACTTACCTGCATGCCACACGCCCCCACCCTGCGCCCCATACACTCACTGGTCCACAGCTCCCAGTACAGCTGCAGCCTGGAGCTGGCCGCATGCAGGCCCAGAGTGGAGGCCGCCTGGCAGGAGTAGGTGAGCAGGTCTGGCCTGGACTTGAGCGTGACGTTGATGCTGAAGGAGGCCGGGCCTTGGGTCTTCACCTCCTTCCTGGCTACCCTGATGTTGTGGGTCCCCCAGAGGGAGTAGGTGACAGGCGGGGGTGCCTGTGGTGCGTGGCATGTGATGAGGACCTGGCGGCCTTTGGGGAAGACCTTCAGGACTTCGTAAGCGATGGAGGTCTCCCGGGTGCTATCTGGGAGTTGAACTGGTTCAAGAGGAAAGAAGGAAGCCAACATTGATCCACACCTTAAGAAAACATTTGGGGCAGGCAGGTGGCGTGGTGGTTAAGGGCACTGGACTTCTACATGGCAGACTACAGTTCCAGTCCCAGACCTGGCAGCTTGCTTTCCCACTTTCTCTCTCTCTTGCTCTGTCCCTCTTTGGTCAAACGAAAATAAATAAATAAATAAAAATTTAAAAAAGAAAGCATTGGTGTTGAGCTAGTGGCAAGGAGGTTAAGGCAGCTGGATCTCACATGGCTGACTGCCAGGTTCGAGTCCCAGACCTGAAGGCCTAGAGGACATGCCAAATGCGTGTGCGTGCCCAAGATCCTGAGAGGAGAATGACGGAGAAGCATTGTCGTGTGGCCAGCCCCCTGGAGGGTGCTTTCACTTTCTCTTCCTCTCTCTCTGTCTCGGGCAAGTACACACACCCTATAGCAAAAACAAAACAAAGCAAAAAGAAAACATTTGTTCCATTTTTTTTTCCTCAAAAATTTAAATAAAGAATTACCAGGTGGTGGGGAACCAGCAGTTAGCGTAATGGCTATGTCGCTGGACTCCCACGTAGTCGACCGCGGTTCGCGTCCTGGA